TAAAGCAACTTAAAATATATCATCCTTATTGGGATGAACTGAAAAGAGTTAACTTTGACTATCGCATAGCACTTATTATATTCATTATAATTATTCACCAAGAAAACACCAATTAGCTTCCGCAGAACTTTGCTAATAATGTACTTCTAACTTTCATTCTCCAATATTTTAGGGTTCTGTAACAAAAAAAATGTAATGAATACTTTGTAATTTCTTTATGCTCGTATATGGGTTATTTGTGTATAATAAACCAGGACAAATTAAACAGCGCCATCTAATTCCAAGCTTATATATACAAACAGAAACAATCGTACTTACGAATACAAACTTTTGTAATGTGCGAGGAAAGGAATCCGCGACCATCGGAGGTAAGTCATTCGAGTAAGACCTCCGAGATCATCTAATATATATAATATGAGGATGTAACTTTTAAAACTTAACTTATATTTTTATATTATTCATAAAACTTTATAGCGTGATGTATAATAGAAGCCCTCGTAAAGCACCCACGACCGACACGAGTTTCTTAAGGGTCGGCAATGCACATTTCAGGCATCCATAGACTACAATAACCGTTTACAATCAGATAAGATGAATGCTTTATTGCCATAACTATGGTATATAGAAACTCAGTGGAAATTATTTGTTTTATTCACGATTTCCTTATAATTTAAAAACCCAAACTTCAAGGTTTACTGGATTATTCACAGCTTTGTCTGCATAAATCAAAATTATTTTTTTTACTTTATTTTCTTTTCTGTGTAATCTATACGCTAGAATTCTAAGGCTGGATTTGTTACATTTCATAAAATTATGTATAATTTCAGCGTCACAAAATTTTTTTTTCTTAGTGCACACCAACGTAAAAACTTCTGTTCCTATAGTCTATATATCAGCCTAGCTCTCTGATTCTAAGGAATTTGAATTTCTGATTCTAGTTCTAAGGAATAGCAATGCGTGACAAGCACCATGTGTATAATAAAAATATTTATGTTTTTCTTGGTTCTAAAGGACTAATATTAATATTAGTACAGTAATATTTCTATAGTACTGGTCAACACGACAGTTGGTTCATACCATAAGCTCAATTACCATGTAACTGAATATGGAAACGAATGAATACTTTATGAAAATACTTACAGCTGCAAAAGTTACAAGTATTTTATTTTTATCTGTTGAGGTTTTTACTTACCGTAACTTATTATTTTAGTATCTTAATTAAAATTAAAATTATGTATTTTCGTATGTGTAGTTCTTGTTGCAATTGAAAATATTAAGTGTGAATTTCAATTGAGTACCAAAATCTCTTTGCTGTACATAGATTTTTTTCGATGATTTTACTAATTAACCATTACTTAAATTTAATAATATTTTATATGTAATATACATTTTGTGGGTAAATATTTTTATTTGAATATTTTATTTCATATCTGCGTGTACCCGAGCAATTTTGTTCTGCTAATATTCATTTTGATGTTCATTTAATAAACACCGTATTTTATTTCGGGTTATAAATGTTTACAACACGAGGAAAATAAAAGAGCTGAGAAATTATTAGACAGTAAACGAAATAAGACTACGTATAAATTTTTTATTGAAGCTTGAAAATCAATAAAATCGTAGATTAGTTTTCTGCGTACACTGAATTTTTTATTAAGAATATTTGTAACATAATACAAGCACTAACTAAAATAATATTTTTAGTACTGAAAGTACTTTCGATCACATATTCTGTTAAACAAAAAGAAAAACAGAAATAATTCGGGTATATATTTAATATTACAATAGTTTTGATGTATTTGGTATGAAAAATACTCAGATGAAAATAACCTGAGATAAGTAAGTAAGCTTAGCAGAGTATCTTCGATATTAAAGAGAAAACAAGAGTCAATTTCGAATTAGTCCAATGTAATTAAAGCTAATACAAATTTTAAAGTTTATACGAAAAAGTTCATTAGATATTCTGAACCGGTCTATTGATACCCAATCAATAGAGCGATTGATATTATTATAAGTAGGTTATATTTGTTATCTGTGGTTATATTAAAGTATCCTATCTATAAATCACAAAGTTTTTAAAATTGAAAATATACCTTATTTCAGAATGTATACAGTTGATAACTAGTGGTGTACATAAGATTCAATATACTATGTGGAACAGCCTGCCATAAATGAAAAACACGTTAGAAGCCTGGTGAATAATGGCCGGCACTATGAATGCTACACAACCGAACGAACGGCCCATTCAACTTTGTATATCTTGTTAATAACTAAGCTGTAAGCATATTTTCTTAAATACGTAACTGCTAAAATATTAATACTATTAATAATTATATCAAATACTCTAATAGAGCGAGAACGACGAAAAAGTGCCTTATAGTAAAAAATATTTGATATAATCACGATGCTAAAAAAATATCATTTATGACTATTATATTATACAAAGTAAAAGTTTGAACGCGATATTGTTATTCTTGTAATATAGACAATTCTATGAAAGCAACCGATTAGAATAAACACTATTTTAAACTTTTTCACTGTTATTTAAAATTGTACAGATTATATGAATGGGATATTTACCATCATAGTACTCTTTAAGAATTTCCGATATTATATCGACGTCGACAGAGTTATAAGAATCCTGGTCGTAGGTCAATCTATGACAAGTAACGACATAAGAACTTGTATATATGTCTGTACATATACAAGTTCTTATGTTTGATTAAATACTTACAAATATCTCATATTTTATTTTATTATATTGTTATAATAACATAAAATATTAAATGTTTGTAAGCATGCAAATCATTGACAATAATTTGGTTTAAATAACGCACCATGACGAGAACTATGACAATTATATGAAATTTAAGTATTTACAGAGAAAAAATATTAATTGATAGTAAAATAATCGGATACATTGAAGCATTTTACCTCATACTCGATTCTGACCTAAAATACTATCTATAATATAGTTATTACCAGTATAATATATCATGTAATTGAAATCGACAAAAAGCTATATTGGCATATAAACTTTGTGGTATTTGAATGACTTGAGTTGGAGTTGAGTCACAGTCGCGGAGCTGCCCAACTAAGTTGTAACCTCTCTAGTTTCGGTCTAAGTTGTATTTACGTAGTCTGACAAGTTGTACCATACATTCTGTGACAACTTCAAGTATAGTATTCAATAATACGGATGTATACTTTATAGTGAGGTTTATCATAATGCACGTAATATTATTTAGGTAGTTAATGAAAACTTACTTTTTGAAGATCTATTCTAATAGTACGGATGCTACCGAGTGGCAATCCAAGCTAAGCCTTAGCCATCACAATAGTCATTAAGTATAAAATAAATGTTTTCCAGGACTAGCCATGGCCTTTCTATCGCATCAAATTAATCAACTCTAAATTAATAATTCTTTTCAAAAGAATGTAAGACTCACTAGGCAATTAAATTAATATCGAAGAAGTCCTATACAAAACCAATTAAAACGAGATTTAGGCTAGAGAGTACAAATTTCCATTTAACAAATAGATAATTCAGACAGTTCCAAAGCTTCGCAGAATTTTAGGCTGTCAACATCAATGTCTAGTTGTTAGTAGAAAGGTTTTAGTAAAAACAATAAATTGGTTTATGATTTTCTTTTCTTAGACCTAGTATTCAAAACATATAATTTATCATATTAATAACTCAGTAATATGTTAACTGGAGAGATGATTTTTACATAATTAGAATGCTAAAGCTAATGGATAACTCAATGGTATACGGTAATCGGCACCTATATACATACATACATGAAGAACACCACGAATATCGCGTCATAATGTGACTTACAGAGTATTTTTCTGGAGGACTAAGATATGATTATTCTTTAAGACACGCAATACAAAAAGTTATAGCACATTTGGCGTCTTAATATAATATAATGCGGTTATCTCACCCATCGACCGAAACCTATCTTACGAAGCAAGCAGCTTGACTAATGAAATAGATGGTATAAGCTTGAAATTAATAATGAAAAAAAAAACGAGAGATGAGAGGTACCCACGCAGATATCTTTGTAGAAAGTCTACCTAAAAATCGTGAAATTTCCCAAAACCCTACGATATGTTTCCAAGTCAAACTTTACGATCAATATGAAGACAGCAATCGGTAAAATGTCTCAGGCGGCATTCGGGATTATAGTCTTAAGCAATTTTTTTGTAGTAAAATATTGGACCGAATAATTTTCTTCTCTGTCAACATTAAATTAAGTAAGTGACATAGTAAACTGACTGTGACAAATGGTCCAATTCCTTAGGGAAATCAGCGCTGAAGTCAAAAGGAAATCTAGAATTGCAACATTACCTCGTAGTAACAACATTGCAGCAGAAGCTAAATTATCCTTGAAAGTACAAAGAACAAAATGTCGTCTCGGGTTTTTTTTATTTATTTGCTGTATTATTCTCAATTATTCTTGTTCTACTGTTTTCAACAACTGTTGCTATTTTCATAAGGGTTTCCTTAGTCTGTGATACATTTACAAATAATATGAAACTTTGGTGAATAAGAGTTGCAAGATGGAATCTAAATTAGGATTTCTTTTTACACTATTATTCAAAATCGTTAATACATAGGACATATTCAATAAAATATATTTATATAGGTATTTTAAATACTGTAATACACTACGTAAGTAGATATATATATATAGCGGCGCACCCGCCGGTAGCCTCGCGCTGTTGGCTCGTTGCTAAGCAACAGATACCCCGGTAGCGGTTGGGTAACGGGAGGCCGGCGGCAGTTGGTCGTTGAATACCGCACGCAGCGCAATAGTCTTACAACTTATTTTAATTATTTTTATGACGATCCAACAATTGGCTTCCCAACTCGGGCAATAACAGTGATTATTCGTAACGAACTCACGTCGACAACGTTCGTGTCTATAAGGTCTTTGTCTTACAGCGGTTTTGAAAAGTGAACTGTTACCAAGTGCGTAGTGCGTATTGTTTTATAGTGAAACTGTTTATAAATCATATTGTTGACAATGCCGCGTAATAATGCCCGTCGTAAAAGTCAGATTAGTGACAGTGAAGAAGTGGCAGACGTTTCCTTCTCCAGTGAGAACCAGTTCGCGTCACTATTGACCGCTTTCGCAAAGGTTCAAGCGGAGTCCAATAGTCAACTCGTAGCAGCTATCCTAGCAGCACAGTCAGGCGGCGCTGCTGGTTTCGTTTCGCCACCACCTTCACCACACACATCACCTGCGACATTGGGTAACTTCGCCAAATGCACGGCCCGGTTCCGCGGCGACACTGACGCCGACCCTGCGGTCTTGGAGGCATTCATCGATAATATCGAAATTTATAAAGAGTGTATGAGTATACCTGACACTATAGCACTAAAGGGCTTGCCGATGCTCCTAGAGGGAGATGCTGCCGTGTGGTTTAGAGATATTCGAACCTCAGTAACTTCGTGGGAAGAAGCTATGAGTCGCTTGCGTGCTATGTATGGTACGCCGCGGCCACCACACAAAGTGTTCCGTGACATATTTAAGTCCGAGCAAGATGCTGATCGCACAGAAGTGTTCGTGGCCCGCCTGCGCGCCCTTCTCACTACGTTACCTTATGTATTAGAAGAACGAGTACAGCTAGACATTATATATGGGTTACTAAACAGATCTATAAGGAAAAGAGTTACGAGAGAGAGTGTAACTACGATAGAACTTATATATAAAGCCCGTAATGTCGAAGAAGCGTTAAGTGAAGCAAATAAACTGTCGTCGAAGTCGTCGTCAACTGTTACGAAGTCAGCGCGCGATTCCATAAGTCGTGCGCATTGCGCGCCAACAGCGCGCGCCATAACGCCTGTGCGCGAGCAGCGCGCACCGCCGCACGCAGCGCGCGGTGCGCGTCCACCCGCCGAAGCGCAGCGTTCCGCCCCTACGGCGCCGGCCCCGCAGCCAGATAGTGCCGACTTCGCGCCTTCTACGTCCAGTGCTCCGGTAGTAAGTTCTACCAAACGAGGTAAATTTTGTGTCTACTGTCGTAAATCAGGACATGATAGAAGTGCTTGTGATAAGAAAAAAAGTGATTTAAAGTGTTACGGTTGCGGTACCAAAGGTACCATTAGATCAAATTGTGACAACTGTAAATCTAAAACATTTTACTCTCTTTCTGAATATAATAGTCTAAGTAGTAATTGTAATGTAGGTAACTTTAAATCGTGTGACTGTCGTCAGGCGTCAAAGAATGAAAATTTGTGTTTAGATAGATGTCACACTCAGAGGTCAAAGAATATAAAACTGTCTCTGAGAGACACTTTTCATAATAGTACCCAATGTTGTAGTAATAAGTTGTGTGATTGTTACTATATGTCAGAGAATATAAATGTGTCTCCGAGAGACAATGTTAATGTAGGTAGCAATGTTAAAACTTATAATTTATGTAATCAATGTTTAAATGTATCGCGAGCGGATTTTTGCGTTTCACCGTTGTGTTTTATGCGGAATGACGACTCAACGCGCCGACCTCTATTAAATATTGAGGTATATGGGTTTCGTGGTACGGGTTTAATAGATACCGGTGCTAAATGTTGTGTTGCTGGTAGCACTCTTTATTTTTTACTTCAACAGCAACAGCATCCCTTTCGAGAGCATTTATTGTCAGTTAAACTTGCTGATGGTTTAATTCGCGATGTAAATGTAAAGCTCGTGGATATAAATGTTCAACTTGCAGGTATGCTAATACCTACCACTTTTGTTATTTTCCCCGACGCGAGTAATAATGAAACATTGTTATGCATTGATTTTTTGCGTAAAGCCCGTATAGTCCTTAACTTACCTGAGAATTACTGGTTCACAGCTGATCGCCCCGAGGTCATTCACCCCTTGTGTTTTGAGTCATGTGGTGACATAGTTGGATGTGCAGCCACAAATGTTTTGCGGCCAGATGAGGGTTCCATGCTATCTCCATCAGAGAAGATTAGACTCAGTGAGCTACTCCAAGAATATGAAGACATCTTTGGAGAAGGGGGAGGGCCTACGCCTTTTGCGGAGCATTGTATAGAGACTGGGGAGCATGCGCCTATTGCTGTACCTCCGTACCGACTTACGCCCGCCATGAAAGCTCTTATGCAAGAACAATTGGAGCATATGATCCAACAAGGTATTATTGAGGAATGCGAGTCTGCATGGGCGGCGCCAGCTCTTTTAGTACCTAAGAAGGATGGGTCATATAGATTTTGCGTAGATTATAGGAGACTGAATGCTATTACAAAGAGTGACGCTTATCCGTTGCCTGTTATCGACGATTTGCTGCAGTACACAGGTAAGAGTTGTTACATGAGTACTGTGGACCTGCGGTCCGGTTACTGGCAGGTTTCCGTTCGTATGGAGGATCAGGATAAAACTGCGTTCGTGACTCCCTTCGGAATGCATAGATTTAGGCGCATGCCTTTTGGTTTACGCAACGCACCAGCCACCTTCCAGCGGCTCATCGATAGATTCCGGTCGGGAGCAACTCTCAAGGACGTTACCATTCTAGGATACATAGATGACCTCATTATAATCTCAGCCAGCTACGAATAACATCTTCGGGATCTTCGTGCCGTATTTGAACGTCTCCGTACTTTCTGCCTGCACGGTAATCGCGATAAGTGCATGTTTGCGCGTGACAGTGTCAAGTATCTTGGGCACGTTATTACACCCGAGGGAGTATCACCAGATCCAGACAAGGTCGCTGCCATCTTGGAGATGAAGGAGCCACGTAACTTGAAGCACCTGAAAAGTTTCCTACAAACTGCTTCTTGGTTTAGGAAATTTATTCCGAACTTTTACCCGCCCACGGGTAGACTGGTCCGCTGGGCTATGAAGCTGCAATCCTTTGACCTCAAAGTAGATTATACTCCAGGTAAGGCTAACCTTATTGCAGATACCCTCAGCCGACCGCCATGTGACGAAGTTGCTCGTGACATCTGTGAAGTGTGTACCGTTGTAGTGGAAATTCCGCGCTGGGATGCTGCTACGCTCCGTGGCGACCAACTTGCTGATCCTGAAGTGGCGAAGATAGTCTTGGACCTGGAAGGAAAAGAAGAAGTATCGATTAAAAGATGGACAGAAAGAGGATATCATATGTCAAAAGGAATACTTTACCGTTATGCTGATCCGGAGACAGAAGAACCACAGCTTGTTATACCTGAAAAGTTAAGAGAACAGGTTATGAAAGAGTATCACGATGCTGCTACTGCAGGTCACGGTGGAGTAGAGAAGACACTGCAACGCATTTCGCAAAGATTTTATTTCCCTGGAATGAGACGGTTTGTGGAAGATTATTTAAAAACTTGCATTAAATGCCAAAGGTATAAGCCCTCCAACTGTAAACCAGCCGGACTTATTCAAACGCCCGTACCTGCACAAAGATTTGAAATCATAGCCGTCGATCTTTTCGGACCACTAACAAAAGGACCTAATGGTGAGAGGTGGATCCTTATCATTGAAGATACGGCCAGTAAGTGGGTGGAAATATTCCCCCTCGTAGAAGCGACATCCGAAGCTTGTGCCAAAATATTTGTTGAGGAAATCTTCTTACGTTATGGTGTGCCTCGTCGGGTTGTTTCAGATAATGGTGTCCAGTTCGTTGCAGACGTTATGCAACACACTGTTTGTTCTAGGAGTGGAGCAGAATCTCATCCCGCTTTATCATCCAGAGGCGAACCCCGTCGAGAGGAAGAATCGCGAGTTAAAAATACAACTCGCCATTCTAGTCGAGAAAGAACATGGACAGTGGCCATCTGCGCTACCTGCAATACGTTTTGCATTAAATACTGCGTCGTCTAAAAGTACCGGGTACACGCCGTCATTTTTAACGTTTGGCAGAGAGTTACGCTCACCTTTTTCCGCTCGGAGTGATCTTCGAGCCATCGTCGAAGCTGAAAATTATGTGCCGCAGATAACACCGTACCTTTTGAAGCTGAATGATGTTTTAAGGACAGCTAAAGAGACCTGCGAAAAAGAACAAGATGTTGGTAAGATATCAAAAGATAAAACACGACGAGAGGCTGAGGTATTTGAGCCTGGTGATCTCGTACTTCTGAAGACTTACACGTTGAGTAACGCTAGCAAGGGTATCAGCTCCAAGTTTAACCCAAGGCGTGATGGACCTTATCAAATCTCAAAGAAAGTAAGTCCCACTACCTACTTACTTGAACATTGTAAGGAACCTTTTGATTTTGTAGGAAAGTATCACGTCTCTGATTTTCGGCGTTATCATTCGCGATCCGAGGGTGATCCTGTGGAGCCAGTGGTACCAAAAAGAGGGCGTGGCCGTCCGCGTAAGATCAATGCTTTATTTTTTTAATATCTTGTGTATCCTTAAACTAAACTGTTGTAGTGTTGATTTTTCTTGATTTTGTTTGACCGATTGTGAGGACACTGATTAGGTCAAAAGGGGGAGTATGTAATACACTACGTAAGTAGATATATATATATAGCGGCGCACCCGCCGGTAGCCTCGCGCTGTTGGCTCGTTGCTAAGCAACAGATACCCCGGTAGCGGTTGGGTAACGGGAGGCCGGCGGCAGTTGGTCGTTGAATACCGCACGCAGCGCAATAGTCTTACAACTTATTTTAATTATTTTTATGACGATCCAACAATACTATTATAATTTAGGATACTACAAATGATAGGTATATTATTAGAATACAGAAAATAACGATTTTCTATTAATATACCAGCTTTTCTGAAAAAACGGCCGGTTCAAATGACATTGTAATGAGTGTGAGTAACATCAGATTACCAAAAGAATATCAGAGATCAAACAGAAAACGTATAACGAGAAGAACTGAATAAAAAATAAAAGGAAATGTTGTAAAAGAAATAAGATACGAATGTTAATGACATACAGATACCGCATATTACAAAAAAAACGTCTTTATCAAAAAAATTCGCAAATCACGTTCTTATTCTCTGTAGCTTTAAAATGTTATTCCAAGTTATTGACATAAATTAACATTGTTATCTTAATTTTTCTGTTCAAAGCCTGATGGATTACAGAATGCCGATTGAAAACCGATACATTTTTAAATGAAACGTCGTATTTAATACAAAAAACTCACCCGACGGTAGACTTTAAATGTAAATAGTTTATTTAAAAAGGATATGTACTGTATACAGCCACATATTTACAATGACACTGTCACTTGACTACTGAAAATTTCAAATTGGGCTAAATCATCAACTTGGGACCACATTTATGTGTAATAATAATATCCCTGGACAAATCACACAACGCCATCTAGTCCCAAATAAGTTACGCTTAGATAAGTTTTCTTTAGATTCATGTACAATATACATAGAAAACATACAAACAATTATACTTATGAATACAAATGTTTGAACCGTACGAGTTATCGAAAGTAAAGCGGTGTGGTAAACCACTAGACCACCGAGGCTATCATACTTATGTGTTCTGTAATTTATAATATACTCGTGTTATAATTTGTTTAAATTATTATAGTATATTATGTATACTTAAATACCTTAAAATACTATACTATATAGTATAGTATTTTAAGGTATATTTTGTACAAAGTCGTGTGACTCACCTATTTCACTTCACCAAGCAGCTTGCAGCTTGACAGATGTGTTTTGGTTGAAGTGTGAGGTAAAGCAGTGAAATTACAAGGTACGGAGGCATGACAAATTGTCATAGCCTCCGGAATGGTAAAGCATGAGATGGTATCGTATCAGCACAGACATCATAAGATAACGTGATATCCGTGGTTGTATATCACGTGGTTACATTAGTTATGTTAGTTAGCAATAAGTAAATTGTCATTATCCTTCAGTTACATCCTTTCAGTTATATAAAAAATTACTTGCGACGTCATATGTATATACTAAAATCAAATTAAAATAATTGCCGCAAATATAATGAATATAATCCCCTCTCTCTAAAGTAAGTGAAGTGAGGACGTTCGGAATTCGAGGAATAATATCAAGGCTTTATAATTATTCATCGCACCTATTTTTCTTTTCTTTGTTTTCCACAGATTATTTTCTTTAGACCTCGGCGTAGAGGATAACGAGCACTCTTTCAAGGTGCCTCATTTCCCAGTAGATTTGTTATTTTTAATTTTAACCCTCTGACTTTATTCCGAGCTGTGCTTAAGATTTAGCGCCTCTTGAGTTTTGAACATTAATAAACAAATTAAATTGTAATTTACTACCGGAAACTATAAATAAATAATATTTAGTGCATTCTATTGATATACTATAGATATGATATAGAATGACATATATATATATTTATTGTATTTGTATAATTAACATGTCAGAGGGTGTTATATTTTACTTCTAAATGAAAATATCTAGAAACATTTTTGTTGTCACTATTAATATAAGTAAATAATAATGTACTAAGAGAAGTATTTCCTAGAAATACGAACAGAAATATCATCATCGAATTCAATTTGATTTGGTGTATTGTGTAAGATTTGTAAGCAAGCAATCTAAATAGGGAAGTAAGATAAACCTTGATTTATGCCAGCCACAAGGCATTAATAATTTGTATAGTAATGGTTATTGAATAAGAAACAATATTTATAGTTTGTGTAATATCTGTGGTGACCTCAAAATGAAACATTTCTTGAATATTGGAATTCCATTGTCGTTGGAATGTTTACGGATAGATAAATTATAGATTATTTCAAATAAAAACGTGAATTATAGTACTTATTATTTTATTGGCTAATATTTTATTCTGTAGTTATCATAACCTTATCATATTATAACCATAATCACAACATAATTTACATTCTACAGTACCTACTTAGATGTCCTGAAGCAAATTATGCGGTCAGTTTAGAAGGGCGGTTTGTGGTGAATAGTTTACCGCAATTTCTGTACGTATGACATAAATATAATAGTCCGGTAATATGATTAGTATTGTAGGCATTTATACATAATTTAGTATCAATTAAACTATAACTAATAAAGGTTTTTGTAAATTATCTATATGTCATTAATTATTAACCTATGTATAAGACATAGGTTTTTAATTATAGTTCGCAGTGGTATATTCATTTTAAATATGAAAAGTTAATAAAATTATCTCTTGTAATTACTTCAAAAATGAAGTAATGTGGACTATACTTTTATTGTATTTTTGAACTAAATTTCCACTGAGTCGTAATAAATAATAATATATATCAACAATTTACTCGTCTGTTCCTAAATGACGCATAGCTATGTTATTATATAATAGATAATTAACAAATATACTGAAAACTGTATATTGCCAGAATCATGTAAACTGCGCTCATTCAAAAATGATGCAGTATATTAAACTATAAAAAAACTGAAATTGTGTAATGTGTATACCATTTACTCTATTTTATGCTATATCTTTGCTAAAACCACTACCACCTATAATCACATACCACTTTCATTAAAAGAGGAAAAAAATTATAAAAAATCTCAAGACATTATTAATTAAAAAAAAATTATACAATTTTAGAATATAAAACTGAGGTATTGCATTATATATTATACAATTTTAATAATTAAATATATACAGTTTCAATTTATT